TAAGTAACAATATTTCTTTCATTTTTGAGCATTACCATAAATTTTACACTCCTGAGTACATAAAATCCAGTTGTAAGAAAATTTATCTGCCAGTGTATTAGTGTGCTGTTTTATGCAAAGGGAAAAGGAGCACACCGTGACACCAGTTAACTGACTGTATTTTTTAAATAAAAGAAATCAACACACAATACAGCAGTAATAGCATTTTGATGGCCCTTTCCTGGATTCCAGAAAAGAAATCATAGTGAATTTTTAGTACTTGACAAAATCCCCGAATCTTTGGGGTTTTATGCTTGCTTGGTTACTGCATGAGATCTCTGGACTTTGTTTGGGGATCTGATTCAACCTCATAAATTCAAATGATATAGAGTGATTATCCAGACCCCTGATTTTCACTCAGACCACTCAGAGAGAAATCTTCCCAAAGCCCATCTTAGCACTATACTGGGCAGGAAATGCAGCACATACTTGACCATTTTTAGGAGCAGTAAAGAACTGACGAAAAACATCCGAAGGCTCCAGGGCAGGAAATGCAGCACATACTTGACCATTTTAAGAGCAGTAAAGAACTGACGAAAAACATCCAATGGCTCTAGTGGGTCTTGGTTAGTCTTCAGTGTTCATCTGCACACAGCAAAAAATAAATAGTTGTGTCTGATTCTGATATTCTTTAAAATAAATGATATTTCAGCAAGCACCTTCTTGAGGCTGCAACAATGCTGTCATCTCCAGTGTTACTGGAGAAGCACCCTTTGTGGCCAGTGCTTCCAGAGAATTTCTTGATACTTCTCCAATGTTCATATGAAAAAATGAGGTATGGATGCACTCACCTGCAGAGGTGGCAGACTACATGTGGGTTGTCTTGGCCACCTGAGAGGACTTCCTTACCCACTTTCTGCCTCTCAAGCAGAAACTTTGTGGGGATCTCATCCAGGACACACCAAGAACTTGCATAGATATTCTTGCAGCAGCTCTACTAAGCCTCTTTCCACCACGCAACCTTGTCTGTAAACCATTGCCTAGGGTGCTGGCTTCTGTCTCTGGATAGAAGAAAAATCGTTCTACAGCTCAGAAAGGCTTTTGGGTATCATAACGCCTATTGTATTTTATGATATAATTTCATTGTGACCTTTTTCTACTCCTTGGATTTATATTGCAAACTCTTGGAGCGAAGGAGAAACTTTCTCTTCTGTATTTGTAATATGCAGAAAGGGGTCCTGGTTGCTATGGGACCTGCTGGACATTACAAGAATGAAACAGATATCATGAAATACTGTGTTCATCACTGTTTTAATATGAGATCATATAGCATCTGAAATAACTACTTTGTATACTGAGACTAAGTTTAATCTTGGAGCTTAGGTTTATATGTGAGTATTTGATCTTCATGTATATTTGGGAATTTTTAATTTTAAAAAAATGTTATTTATGATGTCTCTCACTCTTTTAAACACCTCCCAAATCAGACAGTTTACCAAACTGTGTTTAACTTTGTTCGTCTTTTGGGCACAGTTATTTCTTAAGCACTGAAGAATCTCCAAGAGGAAGACAGCTACATAGGTAAGAAATACACAAGGCTGTGTTAACAGCTTCTTCATCCCAAGCCATAAGTGCTATGATGACCTTCTATAAGCTTAATTGCTGCCTTAGGGCTTGGGAAATCATTTATATTGTGTAAAAATTAGAACACTTGAGCTAACAAGGAAAGAATCACAGTTTTTCAAAACTAAAAATGATGATGATGTTTCACTTTTTTTAAGAAAAAAATAAAGTATTTTAACACAAAATATTTTTACCACTTACGTCTTCACTTGTCCTTTATAAGCATCTAAAAAGCTAAACCTAAATGCAAGCATGTAATATGACTGTATTTTTAAAAGTAGTGAAACTTTTCTAAATGAAAATAAGATTTGTGGGGTCTAATAATGCAATTTAAAGTGTGTGAGCAAAGCATCTCCTCCTTACACAAACCTCAGTGCTTAAATCTGAAGTTATCGAGGCTTTTTATGGTGTCCTACTAGCATTGTTTCCCTGCAGCACTGCTAGTTATTGGAACCCCAGTCCTGCTTTGGGCAGGTTTTGGATCCTGTCCACATTGCCCAGTTTACAGAACAGGAATCCACTGAGTCATCTGAAAACAGTTTACCTCAGGCACAAAATAAGACAATTTTGGCAAGTTTAGGGACTGAAACAAACTTTATCACTCTGATGAACTAATTCCTGGTTTATTGTATTTTCGTCCAATGGCAAATGTTTCTGATCAATTTTTCCCCAGTGTATCAACAGTGGGATCATTGAATCGTCAGTGTCTCTCATGTAACTTCTTGAAAGACCAGTGCACATACTTCAGTGCAAAGTTTAGCCCCATGAATAGGCATTTTTTACTGCACTGTAAAGGTAAGTCAAATGCGCAGCGTGTAATAGTACTGCGTTTGCTTCTGAATTTATGTATTCCCTTGGGAAGTGCATTAGGCTCGAGTGTAACATTTAGCTCAGTAGAGAATTACTTAAAGTTCAGAGCTTATTGCAAGACTTTTAAGTAAAGATGTTCTGGGTAAAAGCTAAGTAACAAGTGATATCAGAAAGGTGCTCCAATCCTAGCCCTTCAGTCCTAGTAAAGGACATTGACTTTTAAATTTACTCTAAATAAAAATCCTTCACCAAAAACCATGGAATTTATCGTGATGGTACTGTGTTTCATAACAGCTTCATTATATTATGTATTGGGATTGATCTTGTGCAACTATACCTATTAAAAAATGAGAGCCTGCCTTCTGTAACTCTGTGTCTCTATGTGCGTATACATGTATGCGTGCAGTGTATCTATACACTCTCACCCACATTTATATATATGTATGTATGTATGTATCTACCAAAAAACAGGTTTGGTTTAATCCATATAGACAGATCCTCTTTGTCAATGCAATTGCGATAAATAACTTTTAGGTTTTTATTGTCAGCTGCATTCCAGTAGCACTGAATGGCACCAATTGGGTTCAGAGCTGATATAACTGGAAAACTAGAACCATCCCATACTGAGAAATTTATAACCTACACCCGGGAAATAAACACTGATAAATAAATAAGATTATAAAAACAGGTTCAGAAAAGCATGAAACAATCAATAATAAAGTGTATAGATAGACCTGTTGACCTTGAAACTTGCAGTATTTTACAAAAAACATTTTCCCAGTGTTTTTGCTCAACTAGCATCAGATTGAAAAGAGCAGAACACAATCCGTCTGAAATACACGTGAATAGCCCATTCTATTTGCAGGCATTTTTTTCCTGTTTCTTTTGCAACTGTACGGGGTTTTTTTCACAAAAATAAAATATATGCCAGCTTGAGAATTGAATCTATTCAAACAAACTATGAATATATATTGGCTAAAATAAGGTTGGGTGGGGTTTTTTTTGTGGAAGTGCATCTATAATACATAGCTGATTAGAAAAAAAAAACGCACCAACTGTATGGTTTATACACAGTTAAAGCTGCACCAGAAGTTACGGAGCTAATCCTGAGGCCCTTATCTGAGTGAAGACTGCACTAGTAATGAGCTCCTCGTGGTTTAAGCAGTTTTCCCTTGTGCTTGACAAAGTCCCTATGGGGAAAGTCTCAGATTCCTGCAAGAGGGAGGGCTGGTAAATTGGGAAGTTTTTTTTTCCCCGAATCAGCAATGTGCTCGAGCCCAAAAACATAGCTTCTTGTTATTACGTTAGCGAAGTATATTCAGCCTGTAATTTGTAACGTGTTCCTTTGATATAAAAATGTGGATGCCAGTAGGAGAATGCACATGAAATTGGTCACAAGCTCGTGACTTTCAGTGACTTTGGGGATGGCAGTTCTCTATTTGAGCTGGTTAGACTGTAGATCATCCTCCCAGGATTAAACCTACACTCCACTGAGTTGCAACCAGTAGACTGCCCTAAGCTGCAGGTGTTGGGCAGGGATGATAAAACACCGTCATTAAGTTTTCCTACCTCTAACATTAATGTATAGTTGTCAACTTGGGGTTATTCAGAGGTCTTCTCTGGTGTATCGTCAGAGCTTGACAATTACGGCAGCAGCGTGGCCCCCCTGTACTGCCACAGTTGTGCAAAATGCCTGTGGTGGGGTGGATGCTTGACAGTATCAAAGTTGATGGCAACATCACCATAGAACAGGTATTAAAACTCTCCTGCGGGGAGTTGCTTGTAAGAGTATGAGGTAAACTGCTTCAAGGAGACAGATGACACCACACCTACGTGCATACACACTCGTTTTCCAACAAAAAAAAAAAGCCTGACTGAATTGTTACAAAAGCAATTTGCCCAGAAAAATCCTTGGGGGACTCTAGACTGGTTTGAGCTATACAAGTTTCAATTCTTCCACCTGCTGGTTACCCGTGAGCACCTTTATTAGGATAGTTTTTCCTTCTTAGCTACCCTCAGCCTCATCTGTCTCAGTATACCACCTGTGTCCATCTCTAGAGACTCTCCCGAGTGAGGAGTTATTTCTAGCCTGGTAGATGGAGGACTGGCTCTACAGCCTCTCAGTTTTGGCAAGCACGTCCTTCACACTTACTTCTACACTGCTTGTGGATTTTTCCTTCAGCACTTCCTAAACACCAACAGATGTTAATCTCTCCACTCAAATAAGGTACTTCACAAAGGGAGTAATTGTTCTTCCCATTTTATACAGCAGGAAATATGTTGTGGATTTAGTGTTACATAGGAGGTCAATGGAAAACCCAAGTGCTCTGATGTGCCGTAACACAATGCCTGTAACACAAGTCTGTCTTTCTCTCTTCTGATTGGCTTTCTAATCTACTGTAATCTCCTTTTTTTCAAAACCTGTCATCATCCTTCCATCTTTTAGTGCAGCAAATAGAGCTGGCCTGGAAAATGACAATGCTTTCACCTCCAAAAACTGTCTTTCTTAAATCAGAATTTAAAGCAAAACGACAAATTCAGAAGAAGTAAAAAGAGCTGGAAAAGCAAAACAAAACAAAGAGGAAGAGACAGCTGAAGAAATTATCTTTTGAAGAGCTAAGGCAGAAAGCTTTGATTTGTCAGCAATCTACCTGTAAGATTTTTGTCAATAGTCTCCCTTGAGGCAGAGAATGAAATTGATAAAAGTCTTCAGTGGAAGCTGTCAGAGGCTGTGAATGGCATCACGCTATTTGTTTCAGGTATTTAAGATTCCCTAGGCTCATGCCATAATTAATTAAGAGAGACAACCTCCTCAGGATGACTCAAAACACATAAATTAAGCTCTGTTTCGGAACTGTTCTCAAAGGGAATCTTTTTTTTTTGAAAAAAAAAAAGAGGAGTCTGAACTCCTGATTTCAGAGGGCCTGTGCCTTCGTCTGCCATGGGGTCCTCAGGGACTTCAGCTTTTCTACATCACCCTTCTTAGCCCAATAGTGACTGCCTGCATGTAATTCAGACTCTTGTCTCACCGAGATAAAACTAAGTTTTCTCGTGCACGAATTCTGTGTTGGGGGTGGGGATGCAACATTTTCTTTTGCAAGTTTACACTAGTGGGAGTCCTCAGAGCAGGGCCAGCAATCTCAGCTATACTCCTGAGTATCCTGAATGTTTGGTCACCCCAGTTTCACATACCATTTTGTACATTTGCACAGTACTTACTAATGTGGAGAATTATTCTTGGTGCTTTTAGTTTCTCAGTGGCAAGTACAGTAAAAATATAGTATCTGACATTACCATGAAATAAGATTAGATTACGTTACACCTAGATTTGACTGTGATGCTCTTGGTCTTCCAGAGCTGACGTAGCGAAGGAGCTTCTTAAACAGATAAGTGAAATATGTGATAATTTTTCACCACCTCTGTACCTTTTCCATAGAAAACATAAGTGAACATTATCATTAATTCACTTCCCAGTCAACCTAAAGTTACTGTTTCTAAATGTCAAACTGCTGTATTTTAGGCACTGCCATTAAGTGCCTCTGTAATTTTTTTATTCTTCACTTCTAGCTAAAACATGGAGATTAAAAAAAAAAGCTCCTTCTAGGTGCAGGTCCTAAGAACAGGCAGCAGGCAGTCTCCACGCTTGGCTGGTACCATAGCCTAGCCTGTGTTCTTCCCAAGGGACACCAGTGGAGTTACTGCTGTGTTTGAAGGGAAGCATGTGTATGGGGCTTTCCAGGATCTGACCTACGTGGTCACTGGTGTTCTCATTCTTTGTTATTGACTGAAATACTGAGTACTAACAGCTCTGTACTTCCTCTGTTTTTCTTCTCTCCTCAAAACAGGGCCAGGCGTTCCAGTTGTTAGCGTGCACAGTACAAGTAATACTGCAAGTGAGTATTCTTTATGGAATAGGTATATTTTATTATCGTCCTTGATTGTTTTGGGGAGTGTGGGGGAGGAGAAAGGCAGTTACAAGTAAATCAAAACTAATAGATGTCTCATTCACATAAAGTCCTATTAATTACCTTTTAGCAACATTCACATCTGCAAATGATAAGGAAAGAAGTTAATCAAATGAGTAAAACTTTTCTAGGCTTTTCAGATATGTTTTATTCTAAGTGCATATCATTTATCTTCTATTTACACTTGAGTTAATTAGATGGCAGGTTGGTCTTCATCCATTTCACTTTCTATGCAAATTATGCTGCCATTATGATACACCTTCAGTATTTTTAGAGATGGTTTTAAAGTTACAATCCAATTATCTTGAAGTAAGGTACAGTCCTTGGACAATTGATCATAAAATCTGACCCACATACGATGAACTTAGTTCTGCTGTTACATTTCTCAAATCAGAGCAGCTCCACTGATGTTTTCTATGATGGCAAATCCAAGAATAAAGCCTTTTTAGGAGGGTATTCAATACCTCTAATTTTCACGTTTTACTCATTGCTTTCTCTATACTGCCACCAAATCTGTTGCTGTTTCCTGGATGCTTGAGGTGTTTTGTAATGGAAGACTGTCCTTCAGCAGCAGAATTTTCCTTAATTTAAGTACTTCTCTGGTGCAGTAGAGGTAACAACTCTGCTACCTACAACTCCACTGTGGGTCCACATAGCATGAAGGTGTGGATTAGAGGAAAGAAGACATCTTTCCATTCAAAAACACTAAACCAATCCTCATATATCCTCATTTCATTCATTAGATTATCCTCAGAATTTTTTCCAGAATCCAAAAGTCCTTTAGCTGTCTGCATCCCCTTTGTCATGGGCAAGCCACTATTCAGCCATAATCTGACCTAATCTTGCATGTTTGAAGTAGCATACTGATCAATAGTATCACACTATGAAGTGTTAATTTTTTTTTTTTTTGAATGTCACTGTTAGTATTTGCAAAGCTCAGTGCTGTAGCACGCCAAGGGGACGGAGTTTTATCCAACTCGACAAGGGGTAGCTACTGCTCAAAGTAAATTCATTGACTTCTGTAGAGCTACTCAGTTCTGTGAAGGTAGACTTTTGCTCTTTATTAGTTGTATCTAAAATACTATTGATAGTGAATTCTTGCAAAAGAGATTTACATACAGCATCGTAGAGGAAAACAAAGCAAGTCAGGATAGCGGGATGTTGTTTGTTGTAACAACAAGAAACCAAATAATAAGAGAGAGAATTTACCATTAATGTTTCAGTGCAAGATTAGATTATCCTCTTCAATTCATAAAAGAATGATTAAGGATTACTTCAATTATTTCATCCTCAGACTATAATTATACTATTTTGGTTGACTGCCCAGAACAAACATTCTCCTCAGATTATCAGTTTTGGCCATAAGTGGTTGGTTTATTGTTTAATTAAAAAAAAAAAAAAAAAATCTACATTTTGGAAGCAAGATTGGTGTTTTGAGTAAAAAAGAAAGGAAGAAAAAAAAACAGAACTAAAAAATCATTCTTTCATCTGCAAAAGGATTGCTTCAAATCTATCAGCAGCTTTGAACCAAACTGAAGTCTTGCTCTTGGTTGAAGTGCAGAAGACAGGGAAGGACATGCAGTGATAAGTAGAGCTGTGCTGGCTAAATATTGACTTCAAATATATAGCTTGAAAAGGATGCCTGCTTGAGGCTTAGGATGCTGCCCAGCAGACTAACCTTTCCTTGTAACAGCTGCTGTTAGTATTTGTCAGGGATACTGTATTCATGTTGTTTGTCAGCGGTTTCACTGTTAGTGCTTAACGAAAACAAAGCCTACTGAAGCCAGAAAAGGGAGTAGATGTATATGTTTTGAATTAAGCTGATTGCTCAGTTCCTGAATTGCAAAGCAGTTGCATTATAAAAAAGTAGTTACAGAAGGAATTCATTTACAGATTTATCATTGCAAATTTTTCCCTTTTTTTTCTTTTGAATCTTGTTTTATCTCTGTTGTGATGATTCTCCATACCTTTCAATTTGCGTTTTCTTCCTGTTTTCTACAGAGTTTTATATTCTGGAAAATAATGCTGTGTTGAAAGAAGCTGTTTTTAAGAAAAAGAATTCCAGGACTGAAATTAAAATGCTTCACATTGAGGATTACGGTAAATTTGGCAAAATGTTATTTTACCAAACGAAAAGCTTTCTTACAATGTTACTATTTTTCATCTGTGTAACTACCAGCCTTTAATGTTTTGCTCTTTTCTTAAAAGAACTCCCTTTACAGTTGTCACTGCCAAAGGATTTCACGGATCGAAACCAGTATGCCCTTCTATTAATAATGTAAGTATCTGTGTAGAATCACTCAAAAGAATAAAAAAGTACTTCATAGAAAACATTTAACTCTATAATTTGAAAATGTTTTTTTACCTTGTGTAAGAAAATTACCTCATGGACTTGAGTTGATAAATCAAAAGGCTTGTTTTCGGGAAGGTTTTGTTACAGGTGCTGCCTTGGGGTTTTTTGAACTTGTCAAACCTAGCGCTGCTTCGTTGTACTTTTATGTACGTGAGGAACTGGCCCTTCTGATGGTGTAGCTGTGAGTAGTTCTGCAGTCTTTCCTGGACCCATACTGATCCCTACCCACAGAGGATCTCATTCAGAGTACATGCTCCTTTTCATCCTTGATAGAAATGGGTAGAGCTTCTAAGAGGGGCTCACTTAAGATGCATAAAGCAAAACTGCTTTTAGGAATACTGGAAGGAAAAAAAAATATTTTTGAGCATCAGTGGCTGAAGGCATTATAGGCATGATCCAAAGTTTGTTGATGTTTGTAGAAAGCCTCTGTGGGAGGAAGGAGGTACTCCCTGGCAACCTGTTCTTTTAAAAAGAAATAGTGTGTGTGTTTCTTTCAGAGACAGTCAGCCTTTAAGTTGCATGCCTACAGAATGTATAGAAGAGAACAGAGTCACGAGTATACCTACAGCCTACCTAGGAAAACTGGTGTTGGCCAGCTCAGGGCATCATTCATTGCTCTCCACCTGAGCTCAGCATCAGATCTGCCATGGGTGTAGAGGGCTTTCCTGTACCTACAGATCTTCCAGTCTCGTTTGGAAGGAATTGATGTGAATTTCGCTAACACAGGTGTAGGAGTGCACTGCTAAATTCATGAAAACACCACATTAGCTGAGCTGCATCACCTGGAGTGAATCTCCCCTTAGTGACCGCAGAGATCCTTACTGCTGTATGTGAGGTCAAATTTACAAGCTTGAGCTGCTGAGTGATCCTAAATTCCTCAGATCAAATCTTAGCTAATAGAACAGAGAGGCATGAAACTGCTTATTTCAAAGTCCAGTTTGTGTTTAAAATGCAGGTTTTTCAGAGGTATTTATCTGCAGTTGTGGAGGCTCTCTGCTTTAAGTGCCTCCCGAACACATTTTTCTTCTCTTGTAGAGGCGCAGGACACATGGATTATTTTATCTTTGCAGTATTTGCTAACATGATCTTGAAGCATGATTATATTTTAAGCAGCTCTTTGGAGTGTGCCAAAGGCAAACTGACTCTGTGAATTGACACCAGCAGCATTGCAGGGAATTGCCAACACTTGTGCTTATTTTTTTTTCTGAGAGTAAGGAAACACTAAGGTGTTAGCAGTGTAACGCTTTCCTTTTTAAGTATCCTAGTAAATACATAATCTGCCATACACAGGTGTGGTAGAATAGGAGGTTATATACTCGTGTAGAACCTAGAGAAGACAGGAGGGAAAGATGAGAAACCTGGAGAAGGCCAAGGCCAAAAATGACAGTAAAAGGAAAAAAAAAGCTAAGGAAGTACTATTATGAAATGTCTTTAGATATCAAGAGTTGAAATAACTGCGAACAGTTTTGAGGTAAGGTCTGAATTTAAACTTACCAAAGTTGTCAGTACCCAGTGTGTGAATAATGTGACCAAGTCATAATGTATGAATATGTTTTATTTTTTTATTATGTGCATGTGGGATAAAAAGAAAATTCATCCACTTATGAATACAGATTGCGGTATCTACATTTATGATATGGAGACTTTGCTTCTTTTGAGTCAAATCCTTACCTTTGCAAATACTGAATTCTCAATGTTAGCTGCAACAGGAGTTACTTTTAGAAAACCCTATAACCTAATGAAAGTATGAAACTGAAAATTTCAAATCTGTCCTAGCTCGTGTAATGTTATGTTGCATGTTTTGTGTTCCCCCTTCCCTACAAAAGAAAGAAGTTATATTTCTTCAGCAGCTTTTTACAGACTTTAAGCTAAGGTTGCCAGCAATCCCTTTTTGAGTTAAAGATGTCCCCAAGTGAGACATAAAGCTGAAAACTGTCACTGAAGTTATGGGAGGTTCCCTTGTGGCGTGATTATTTGAGCCTTTTGAGCCTAATAAATTCTGCCTAGCTCTTGAGAAAGAACAGTTGCAATTCTTTGTGTGTGCGGAGGGTAATTTGTTGACCCAACAACTCCAAATTGACATCGTAAAGTTTATTTCATTATCAGAAGTACTACTTTCAAAAAAAAAAAAAAAAAAGTAGTATTCAGGTCCAAGAAGAATATGTAGCTTTTACAGGAAACACTGATTAGTTGTGTATCTGGTATCATTTCCCAGATATTTGACTTTCATGGGTCCCAGAGTGGTACTGTTGGGACTGATTGAGAAGCACTCTGTTCCTACTGCTGGAAGTGTTAGACAAGAATTGTATTAGTGGCTGATAACAAGCACTGCCTTTCATATTGTTCAGCTGCACCTGCTTTCTTGCTTACGTTCTCAGCCATGATAAAATTATCATTATTTAAAAATTATTATTTTATTCCAGCTATTGAAAGTTTGAGAAAGAATGCTTACCAATGTCCTTCGTAAGAATGTTTGTTTAATTGTATATCCGTTTTTTGGAAAGGAGATTCTATATAACATCTCGATCCAGGCAACATACACTTATATGAAGAGAAATAGATGTGGCAAAGTGGAGTATTAGGAGGTATGAAGTGGCTTTTGCTCTTCATCTCAGTGGCACTGCAATTTGACAAGGACTTAAGAAAAATTGAGGGAGGAAAGGAACATGAGGAAAAGAAAATGTGAGTTTAAACCTGAAATTCACCTAATATGTCTCTGCAGTCCAAATTAAATGCCTAGTTAAGTGTATATAAGCTTCTAAGCGCATATAGGCTTTGTCCCCTAAGCTGGAGGGTAAACATATAAGATCTGCCAGGCTCTGACTGGCTGTTTGGCTGCAGTCATTGCTTCAGAGTTTCTCCAAGCCCCTGGTGAAGATTCATCTTCCCTGTGTCTTACATTTTGCCAGGATATGGTTTGTCTGTGTGGTCTCGTCTGTGTCTGCAGAATTTTTGTGCCAGTGGCTGGTTTTGCTGGCTCAGAATAAAGTGGGTTTTTGATGGCTGAGATTCATAATTTTACTGGAAGTTTTTCGTCAGCAGCTACTACTTCTGTGTGGTGTTAATGTTTCTCTCTGGATTGATAGGTTTATAATTATGATAACAGAATTTGGAAATAGATAAAGGAGAGAAAGTTTGGTATTATTTGGTAATTTTTTTTCAAATCACTGAAAGCTAGTAGCCATTTCAAAGGTGCATGACTATCATAAGTCTCCTGTATTCATGCAAAGATGCCTTCAGGTAAATTTGAACTTTCACCACATGGCACTCAGATGTCTGAGTGTTAAGGCTGAATCCTGGAAGGGAGCCTGTACCAGTGGATTCTAGTCCTGGTGTGAAACTTGGCTGTGAACTCAGTACAGCTCCATGTAGACACAAGCTCAACTTAGGCTACTTGTAGGACCAAGCCCTGAATATCCTGTAACCATCATCATAAGGATTTTGTGAAGATTCATCCGTTAGCAGTTGCAAAGCATGCTGCAGTGCTCAAAGAGAGGATTATTGTATTGCTGTGTTAGAATTTATGTCCATCTGGACTATGGAACAGATAGCACTAGCCGACATAACTGGTTTCTACATGAGTCCTGTTTTTCTTTCCGGAATTGTGATGCACAGGCCATAAAATGCTAAATAGATTATAACACTCTCCTTTCTTCCATTTGTTCTCCTAAACCACTAATACATTTCACACTCAGTTTCCTTCTGATATCATACAGTGTTGCTATAGATTAGAGAGGTGTACAGTAATTGCCTGAAAGAGTGATTATCATGTCTTTTCTATATAATTAAGATCAAAGTTTAAATTTTGGATCCTTGATTTTTTGCTCATTATGGTTCACCTTACTCATTAAAAAAGTTGGAAGATACACTCCTTGGTAACACACAGGAAATGATTAAGTAAAGACTCTGGCATTTAATCTGGGTAATAAAATGAGAGGTGATAATCATTCTTTATTTTTTTCTTGAACATAATTAACCTCATTCCTTCAAAATCTGTAGATAATGTATCTTAAATGTCAGCATTTATTATTTAACGCCATTTAAAATTGTCCAATATGTAATTGGATATTGTAAAACTGAATCAGTGGAGAGTTTGTTCTGATCTTTGAGGGGAAAAAAAAAAACAATGGGTATTCTCCGAAGTAACAGTATATTGTCTCCAAGAGGTTTCTGTTTGTTTATTTGTTTACTTGTTTTCTTATATTTTGGTATTAAAAGGGAATCACTTCACCTGTTATTGAAATGATGAAAGTTTTAGGCCTTGCACCGGCAATCAAACCTGTTTATGAGTCGAGTTAATACACTCTCTGGATTGATAGCAAGATAGGACAGTAGGATTGAAAGTGTAGATTTTTTTACAACTTCAGGAATGACTCATTAAAAGAGTAGGAGAAACGTAGAGAGGCGTAATGCATGCATTGGGAAATACTCAGGATCTGAGGTACGGTAACACTGCCTGTTAATAGCTGTCTTGCTTAGCTTTCGTTTGTTGTAAAGGATATTACTCATTTTAACGGGCAGCTGTTGCAAGTGAAGGAACAATGCTTGGCTACCTGCTGAAGTGTAAAAATATGTGGTGGATTCCACTACTTTGATTGCAGTATGCTTGCAAGGGGGACATCTCTGAAGGCCTTTTGTTTGACCAGTTCTTTCTCCATAAAACAGCTGCAAAGCTTACTTTTCTGGGGATCCCTAAGTCATGTGAAGTCACTGATTGCTTTGCAAGCCATCCATTTGATGCCTGTATTCATCCTGCCGCTGCCGAGCACGGCAGTATTTCACTGCTCTGTTGTGTTTCTGTTACATCGAAGTATTTGATGGAGAATCTTTTATTTTCTGCTCTTCTAGATTTTTCTTCCCCATTCTTTGAACTTTGTAACATTTCTCAAGGCCTACAGGGAGAATTTGTTTAGCTTAGGCTAGAAGAGGGATAGGCTGAACGCTCACTCCAGGTGTTTCATTTGCAGTAGTGGTCCTGGTGCTATGGGCAGTGATGGATCTGCTCACTCTCTTTGTCTTTGGTCTTGTCCCCACAAAAGGCTTGGGAGTCTTTGAGCGAAGATCCATCCTCTTTCAGCCTCCCCTACCCCCACTTCCCCCACAGCAGAACATATCTTACTCTGAATAAAATTCTCATTTAATCTTCCTTAGAAAAAGACAAGAGGAGATTTAAAACTTCACCTCCCGTTTCTTATGACACAGGACAGTGTTACATCTCTTGTTCTCAAAATTGTATTTTTAAAGTCTTCAGCCTCAAGGGTTCAGAAAGATATTTTTAGAATTACAATTTTATTTTCTGTCCTATGCTGTCTACTTCAGTCCTGTCTATCGCATGATTCTACCCTAGTAATGGAATTGCTTCTCGTGGTATGTTTTAATTTGTTTGGCCATATCTGCAGGGAGGAGTTGTAAACACAATATCTGGTTTTAGTTGCAGTCTGCTATATCTAAACAGGGTATATGCACAGAGAGAAAACATTTGGGATTTTTTTGTCCTTGATGTTTGAGGCTATTCAGGTGCCCTGATTTTTGACCAGTAATGATGGATCTCCTTGAAAGCTGATGCTTGTGAAAGAGATGCCCATGAAATCTGAAAATGAAGTGGATTTTCCTGTTACATCAGTTTTGCAAAATGATCTTCTTTCCCCACTCAGTTTCACCATAAGCGAAAGATGACTTTTCTCAGTGATATTTCTTTGCATAGATTTTATCCTCTGAGCTGTAGTCTTTCTCACTTATTTGCTGTCAAGTTACCTTTTCCTTATGCTGCATCGAATCCACTATTTTGCAGAAATAGAAAGAGATGTACTGGAAATTAAGTAGTGATAATAGCAGTTATTTGCCATGTATCTTTTAAAATTATCTCCCCCTCCCTCCCCGCTTGGTCAGCCCTATAGCTTGCTAAAATTCCTATATAAAATCTTGCCACTTAGTTTTTAAATGGTGCAAAACCTGGAACAAGTTTTGCTGCAGTCATGATAGCAGAGCGGCAGAGGAGTATTGCTCAGAGTACAGCAGCAACAGCCTCTCTGGTAACACAATATTATTCCCTGTAGGCTGTAACTCAAGTCATGAACAGAGACTTTAGTTTAAGCTTTTGGTTATAGAATCTGAAAGAACAGATTCTTCTCTTTTCAGCAATATATGAACTTACGATGAGCTGCTGGTTTTCCAGACATCAGTCTGAGATGTATGTGACTGCCTTGCCAGAAGCATACAAATTACCCACTAAGGTCAATGATGCTGGTATATTATTGATGGCTTCTGTCTGTTTAAATGGTATCTCAATGGTGAACTTCAGCAGTATGCCCAAGTCGTCAGCAGTTGCGCTGTCACGGTGGACTCATAATCTGAGTGTAGCCACTGTCAAAGACACGCACTCGGCAGCTCTGAACCTTGAAAGTCAGGAGCAAAAATAAAAAAAGGACAATATAAGTGCTGTCACTTGCAAGGAAAAAATAAACGAATCAGGAAGAATTAGGCATAGTCTTCATTTAAATAATTCTGCTCTTGTTGTTTGCCTCTGGAGATGATGCTCCGTAAGGAAGCCTTGAGAGATTTTAAAGAGCCTGTAGCTTTGCATAGCCCTTTTGGTGCCAGCTTCGATTTTGTTGTAGTGCATTGGCTGGTCCATGTTTCCCTTAAGACGATCCATAGGCAGGCGGGAAGACTTCTGCATTTGTATTGCACCCAAGTATAAATGGCACGGACTTTCTTCCAGGCTTACTAGTGGGGTCAAGAAATAAATCTATGAATAGAGTACTACTGAACAGTAGTTAATTATAATTAGGCTGGAAGGTAGTGACGAGGATAAAACAAAAACTGACCTTTGAGACAGCTGTAATCTCAGGACAAACTTCACAAACCAGGCTGTGCATCTATTATTTCACCACAGTAACAAACTTGCTTTGTTACAGAGCCCTGAGGGTGATGTTCAAACTTGCATAAAGGATTAATATCTTGCAGAAGCCCCATTTAAAAGGTTAAAAGTGGAGTCTAAATGGTGCATAGAATATATGCTGTCTCTCTGTGGAGGACAGAAGTACACCTCAGATAATCAGTATCATTTTATAGTAGCAGCTGAAGAGTAAAGAGACCTTTTGATGCTAATGGGAATTTTGACATGTACCTCAATGGAAATGGCTTTAAATGCCTGTCAAAGGCTACTTATATGGACATTCTTGAAATAAATTAGCCACTGGAAAATTGCTTCCAAAAGCAATACGTCAAACAACCCGTCATGCAGGAGTGGAAGATGTATAGTGTTTAAAGTCTGAGCCTAAAAGTAGCCCAGCTATGCCCTCCAGAGAAGGAGCTTGGGAAAACATCACTCTCAGTTCTCGCCCATTGAGAATCTTGCTGAGGTTCTGTCTGTTCTTTTCTTAATAGACTAAATTATCTGAGGATGTCATCTTTCATTTAAAACCCTTTTTGGTTTTAAGCACTTTCTGGTGTAGAGAAAGGCTTACAAATGTAACCGTTCTTCCCCTATTCCCAAGCGTCTAGATATATAACATATGTGTGTGTGTGTATACATGTGGATATAACCTAGATATATAATGTGTAAAACAAATGCAAACACTGTATTTGGTTTTTTTCTTGTATTAGGTGGGAGGGAAGCAGGCTGACTCATGATGTTTTCACTTGTGTGGTGTGCATTAAACTGTTGGAAAGCCAAACAAGGGTATTTCTGAGATACTATCTTATTGTGGAAAGTTGGAAGAACTTTAAAAAAAGTAATTATAACTGGTGTGATGCTGCTACTATTGGAAGTAGTGGTAAAAGCTCTGTGAAAGCATCTATGTCAATGTACAGTATTTCCAAAAACTTTGCCCTGTACAATAAGCAGAAATTGAGAGAATTGTTCTGCTCTTGCTCTTATTCTAAATAATAATGATAATATACTTCTGAATCATGTGTTTTCTGCAGAGCCTACATGACAATATTTCAAATTCATTGCTCTGCATTGTTAGCAGTTAGTGTAATCACAACTGAATTGGTTAAGCAAACAAAAAATACCCTTCCTTTCTTCTTATAAAGCCAAGTATAAACTTGATACACAAGATAATGGTGAATCAAGCATAACATGTTGTGACTACGTCTATAACCAAGTAATCTGGGTTTCAGTGCATGGTATAACAATTGCATAGGTAGGTCTGAAAGAATTCGAGACCATACATATACATCATATTCTTGCTTAATTATTAGAGTGGTTACCTTGAAGATAGTCTATGTTATCCACAGCCAAAAGCAGATACTAAATCAGCACAGTATTGTACATATAAGATAGCAGTTACGGTAGAAAATTTTTATCTCTCTTTTCTTCCCCCAGGTTTATATAAGTCTCTTTGGCAAAATAATAATTTCTGTCTTCATCTTTCTTTCACCTTAGACAGGATATTCCCACAGACACTGTCCAATCTAATTTCCATACAGCTAGCACAGGCACTTTTACGTTTTAATTTGCATTCAACTGGCAGATGCAGCCTGCATAGAAATATTTTGCTTTTTTGTACAACTTCATGGTAGCCTGCTCTCTTATTCTGTGTTTATCTTGAGGGAAAAGTAATGACAAGCTTCCCTTTTAAAACTGACATTTTATTTTCCTTGGAAGGAAAATTGTATATTTGGCATCAATGGAAAATGCTTATTGTTCCTCTAGAAACTGCATTCTCCTGTTCTATTCCACCTTTCCTGCTGTAAACCACCTTTTTTTTTCAGTCATAAAATAAACTTATCACTCTTGCCTGCATCCACTTCTTGCTATGAATTTGGATGGAGAAAATATAATTTTCTCCAGTGTGTACTATAGTCTTCTTTGTACCCTATTTCAAAAAATCCATTTGAGGATACAATAATGCAATTATTTTTGGTTTCTAAGATGACATCCTTCTTAATAGTATTATATATCCTTCAAAATCATAATCAGGGTGCTGAATGAATTTTCCTTTTTCTCTGTGTACTATGACATAAGAAATTCAACATGAGCCTTCTCAGACCTGAGCTAGCCGTTAGTGATTATGGGTTGGGTTTTTTCACTTTGTTAACCTATAAGCAGCACTACGTGCTTTAGTTTTCTGTTTCTTTCTATAAAGCATATTCAGGTATTGGCAACACTGCAAAATAGTGGTTATAAAGTTAAAGAAATTATTTTGCTTACTACTACTGCAGGGATACCAGCACTAGCTAATGCGATAGTATTGATGGAAGTGACAATAATTCAACAGGGTTGCATAACCGACTGAACTCTGCCATCTAGGTTAAATAAAATATCGGAGAACGGCAAAGTGCATCACATTGTCAATAGTCTTCGTTTGTGTCTGGTGTGTTGGTATTTGCAGTGATGAAGCTCCAGGCAGCCAGTTGGTTACAGATAAGTTTCACATTGACTGGGACTCAGTGCTTGTCAACTCTGATAATGTCATCGTAGCTCGATTTGATGGCAGAGGGAGTGGATTTCAAGGCCTTAAGATTCTACAGGAGGTCCACCGATGCTTAGGATCAGTGGAAGTGAAGGACCAAATAGCAGCCGTAGAGTACGTATGTGCAAACTTTTCTTCTCTTTTACCCTGCTTCCACCTTGATGAACGAGCATTTTTAACTGAACCTGCCCAGAATGTTTTCTTTGTGTAGTGAATACAATGTATTGCATTAACAGTACAGTTAATGTTTATTTTAATGCAGTTGCAAATTTTGAAACAATAATCTTTTCAGTACAAACAGCAAATAAAATACCAAAGAAGTGTTTGCTTTTTGTGTTGGTGCTTCTCTTTGATAAAGCTGTCCTTCCGTGTGCAATCTAAATATGCCATCTGAACCAATTTATGTTTGTCTATGTTCCTTAGGAAAATTTCTTGCAGTGCACATGTTAATGTTTAATGCATTTGTGTTGCAATATTTTAGGCCTATATGATAAGATACTGCTCTCATTTCCACTGCAGAGTTGTAGAGTAATTGTACAAAGCAAATGGAATTATGATGGTGTAAATGAGAGCAAAATTGGGGCAAATACCCATTATTACCCATTATCATTCTTAGACTGGTATGAATCCAGCTGCAGAAAAGGGTCATTTCCATCTGTGAAGTAATCACACATGGCTTTGACAACACTCTTTACTTGAGGTGCACATGTCAAAATGACTAATACCAAGGTCTAGATGGACTTTTTCTAGGGGTTCTCAAGGAAAGATGGATTTTAAGCCAGATATTTTATATTTTTTTTCTTCTTTTGAAAGAGGTTGATGCTTCAACCATTGCATGAGTAGGCAACTGTCTCTAGTGTGACACACCTGGGCAGTAGGGCTCCTAGTGTTCATGTTGGTTGGGAATGGACTGCATTGAGCAGAGGAATTCAAGGTGACCCTTGCGAAAGGGCAGTCAGAAGCAGGCCATATACTGTGCTGTGAGAAAGGAGCGCTCTGCTTAGATACGAAGATGTTTTAGGCCAAATTACACCTGGCCTCTTTTTGAATGCACTGCATGGGAAGAAGGGAGGATGCCCTTGGCTGAGAGGAGGTACTGAGGCTGCTTTTGTCTCCTCAAAGGCAGTTGGATTTTGCCCTCAGGTTATTCTGTCTTTTCTGTATAAAATTCACCATTGCTGATTAATGGCCTTGATGAGAGAATTAATTATTTGGATAATTATCTAGATTCAAGAAGTTGCATTTATCTTACCTTCCTTTAACTGTCAAAAAACTAGGCACCTCATCAAAGCCAGTCATTTAAGCTCTAGTTGGTGGAAAATCGTGGCATTTCTGGAGGGTGATTCTCACCAGACAAAGAGAGATTTCCAACATGGGTGGGAAAGAACGGCTCTTTGAAGGTGTCTCTCTTCTCTCCTTTAACGGAAGAGCAGACGTAAATGGGCAATTTAGACAAGATACTCAAATATCTCAAGTTAGGTGAGATGAGCCCAACGCCAACTTTTTGCCATATAGAGAAGGAATTAGAAAGCAAATCACATTTCCCAGTGCAATAATACTTTTATTGGTGTAATTTGTTCTTCTACCTGATCTGCACGCATGACAATTCCTTACTGTACAAATAATTTTCTTTACATACTAGATTCAACAACTAAAATTAACCATTTTACTTTAACAAAGTAAAAAAAGCTTTTTTTCTTTCAGATCACTGTTGAAGCAACCCTTCATTGATCCTAAAAGACTGAGTATATTTGGAAAGGTAATGTGTAAAAATAGAGGATGTATCACCATGACTCTTTAAGAAAATACTTCAAGAAGTATTTCCTGAATACTTCAAGTTCTTAAAGAAGTACTCTTTAAGAAAGTACTTCGTAAACAAACATATTTATCTATTTTCCTAAGACAATTTCAGTTATTAAAAGAGAGAGAAAACCTTCCGTAATTTACTGTATGTTCTGTGTATGAATTTTTTATCAAAATTGGTATTTGAGATCAATCAGATGATTGGTCTCAGATCAGATCAGATTATGGTACTGCGCTATTTGTGTTTCAGAACCTGCAGGAGAAAGTATTTATTACAAACCATCTGCTTGCTTTAGAAATTTTTAATATGGGCTTAGGTTTTGTGAAAGCTTGTTTCTTACACTTTTATGTTTGGGCCACAGTTAAATTGCCGACATCCTCCTAATACAACTTTCATATCTGAATGTTTTACTGACCCTTGAAGTTAGCTGAGTAACAACGCTGTGGTACTGTCAACAGCTTCCTTTTTGTGCCATCTAGAAATCTCACCTTTGCTGTTTTGTCAGCTGGCTTCACTGGGTGCCGTGTCGTTGCCCCTGGCATGAGACAGAACAGGGCTCAGGCTTAACCTTTAGTAACAAGCTAAATAGCATTTTACTGATGTCTATTAAAAAACAGCAATGAGAAACACCTCATAATTGCTGCTGCTTCTATGAACTAGCATGTGCAACCATTTTTTTGAAGTGTTTTCTTAAAAATGAAGATGTTTTGTGCCTTTGACCTCAAAGCAAAAACAAACTGTGATCAAGTACCTAGACAAACCCCGCAATCGTCAGTTGTAAGAGCAGCATGTGTTCCACTGTGAAACCCTTTAGTTCCCATCCCCACTCTGCTACTGACTTGCTGCCTGGCCTCGGGCAAGGTATTTAGCCTGCATGTCTCAGTCTGCCTGAACGCGAGATGAGGACAGGGATATTTACCTCCTGCATGGTAACGTTTCGAGGACTAGTTAATGTTTGTGACTGTTATTAGCATTCCACAGGAGTGTGACCTTCCTCAAAGATTTGAGTTCCTGCCACACTCCTTGAGCTAAAGAAACTCTCATTACAAGAGTTTCAGTAGCGTCAAAGTCAGCAGGGGTGATTCCATCCACCAGATGATTGTGACAAATATTTCTATTCCATTTTAGTGCCCGTTACCAATGTGTATATGCGTAGAAGCTTCTACATTTTTCTCTATCCTCTTCCCACAAATGACTGAAAATTTTATTTCTGAAATGAAATTACTAAGAACCCCAAATTGCTCACTTGTTTCTGACTTCAGAAATCTTTTCCATTGCTACTTGAAAATTTCCACTTGTTTTCTCTAGGAGATTCCCCGGTATCTTGTTTCCTGACGGTCTCGTGATGAGACAGTTGCCACTGAGCATATATGTAAACATAGTTTTACATATTTGCCAAAGGCTACTACCCCCAAATTTTTGTTTCTTTCACAAGGTATTATTAATGATGATGTTCTTGCATTTATTTTCTGAAAGAAAGATTGAGGAATGAAAACTGGAAATGTGAGAAAGCAAAGAGGAAAAACCCTTTCCAAGTTAATTCTCAGAATTGTTTTCTACTGTCAAACAAAAATTCGTAAAATTTAACAGTTGATTTTAGAATTAGGCGAAAAAACTCAACTATTTAACAGCTTCCTAGGGTTAATTGTGTTTTCCTCTACTTATTTTAGAGTCAATTAAAAATCTTAAAAACTCATATCCTTTTTACTATGTACAACCATGTGGTAGGAAAAAATATTTTTTTTCTTTCTATGCATTAAATTGGGCTTACTGATGGAAACAGAATATGTACTTTGCTTGAAAATAAGATGACTTTGGAATTGCTTAATGCTGATGTCATAAAGCTAGACTCAGGCACACTTTCAAAAAGCTCTGTAAGAGGTTTTAGAACTCCACAGAAATAAAATTCTTGTTGCAATCAGTAACGTAAACTAGGCACAAGAGTAATAAGACTGTCCAGAAGGGCACAGTGTGGAAAATACCTACTTCTGACTGCCAGGCAATCTGCCAATGCCGTCATGCTCATCTCTGTGAGGGGCGCAAGCCCAAGTGATGCACGATCCAAAGGCCTTTCTGAACTGTTAAACAGCAAATTGTGTATCCACGTGGTTTGCATTTTGATTCATGGAAGTAGAAAGAGAGCTTGAAAATAACTGGTAACTTCATAGCCAACCAGCTTCTTGAAAATACAGCAATTAGGTGGTAACCATAGAAATCCAGCTGATGAGTGAGGCACCTTATATCCTTGCTTTAGGACTTCGGGACTATTTTCTGCATTGTCATTATGAAGTGCTTCTAAAAATGTGATCTCACTGTGTAATGTTTCTGTCCTGGAAAGCCTGGCTGGAAGCAAGGGCACAAGCACAAAAGAAAGAAATTCCCAGGAGAACTAAACCAAGCTCTTAACGAATACACGGCATAAATAATAAATAACCTGGCAATAGCTATCCTAGGATTAAAATTGTGCTGTGGAGCTACTGGGAAAGACACAAACAGAATATTAAACAAAAGTGAAAGTAGAGAACCCAGAGGCAGAGCAAAGTTGCTATTCTCTTAAACTCTTTGAATTATACAAGTTACCAGTGCCCACTCAGAAATTCTTTCTTAGGTGAAATCTACTTCTGCACATGGACAATTCTGAGAGGCTCTGAGCCTCCTGGGCTGGAATTTCTGAGGGACAGGGATAACTCAGTTTCTCACTCTCCCTTGAAAATACAGCTTTTATTCTGTATTTCCTTTAGTGTGTCCGTTCTCATTTACTATAGGTTGATTCCAAAGAACACTCCTCTTTGCTTATTTTTCTTAAATAAGGTTAAGGGATTTTCAAATATTCCCTTTCTTCCACCGAAATCATCTATTCATTAAATATTTAGACATGAAGAACAGGAGCAGGCAGGATTCAAAAAGGTCCGTGAGAAAGAGCATTTGGCACACAATATTCTGTTTTGGGATTGGCTGGCGTTTTACATTTTTCTTTTCCCTGTCATGAGATAATTTCTTCTTCCTGAAGTGTGTTGTGCCAAACACAAAACAACAACAACAACAAAATATCTGCAAAAATCAATTTTCCAACACTGATGAAGGGGAAACGAAGATGGCAAATAAAGAAATTTGAAGAGCCTATAATATATGAGAAAATCATTGATCCCAGACTCCACAATTCAGAATTTCATTTTCTGCGAGTCTAGAATGATTATAGGTGTATAGATATGGATTGCCGGTGTCATTCCAAGGAAATCTGTGGTCTCAGGTTAAAGCTTTCATGTTTTCGTGCAAAGCGAGACTTTCATGGCTCTCTATTGTGTCACAACTCTTCCCAGGGAGGCACATTATAGACTTTACAGGGGAGATGATGAAGAGATGTGCCATAAGGACAGATAAATGTGGTGAGACGAGGAGAGGGCTCCTCTGCTTCTGCCCCATCTCTCTCAGCTTCTTCATGCCGTCTGTGCTCCCTTCTTTTTAACACAGCTGCCAGAAAGTGCATCCAGAGATTAGCTTAATATTGAGCAGTGTGGCTTCATAGAGCTTTTGTTTCTGCAAAACAGTGCAGGATCTGTGCCTCTCTGAGGGATGTTTGACAATGCTGTAGCAGAAACCTCTTTAATAGCAATAGGATTCAATCTGTGAAGGTTCAAGTGTCAGGGGTGACATACTGCAGTCAGTTCACAGGTTTCCTTCATTCTCGTACTCTCTGTCCTGTCAGCAAAACACTCAGTGTATCCTGGTAGTTAACAAATACCTACATTAAATGTACTAAAAACTGAGTACAAATCTTCCTGTATAGGCTGTGTTCCCAAAAGATGTACCTTTGTTTTCTCTGTTGGGTTGTTGGTTTTTTTTCTCTGTAATTTTCAAATCTTTTACTAACTATAGACTAGTCTGCCACGATGGAATTATGGAGTTTAAACTGAAATATAATCATTGTTATTAATTGCATGGTTTAAAGATCACAACCGGGACATACGAGAGCTTTATTCACTCTTAACTGTAGGTTCGCATTTCCTTTAAAAGCAATTCTTACAGATATAAATAAATACTGTAAAATTATACCATCAGATTAGCACAATGGCCTTTAACTTTATTGTTGCTAGAAAGAAATTAATAAACAAAAATCTCGGTATCATTTCCATTGTTAGGGATATGGTGGCTACATTACATCAATGATCCTGAAATCCAGTGAACGGCTCTTCAAGTGTGGAGCTGTGGTGGCACCAATTACAGATATGAAGTTGTATGGTGAGTGTTCCCTGCGCTGCATTTGTGTGATGGTCTATTCAAAGTATCTTTTATCAATGGAGCTACCGTTCATTTTAAATAAGGGCAGATAACATACCCTTATCAACGAGGTGTCACCTCACTGTCTCATTCTCTTCTTTGAATGAAAAGGCTTCTAACACTGGAACAGTTTATGAAAACATACAACAAATACATTATTATTAATACCACTGATTTTTGCAAAGGAGTTGTGTTTCCCATTTCACACTTCCCACTGAAATTCAGTCAGGTACCTTGTTTCCTAAGAATCTTTTAGGTATATCACCCTGAATCAAGACTTCTCATAGGAATTAATTTTTTGAGGTTAGTGGTAAATTCCTTACAATATCAACCATGTCATCGTTCAATCACAGGATATTTGGTTGTGTATGTGAAGTATTGGGCACAGGCTATGGACTGTGGTCTGTGAAACACAGGAAATCAGGATTTTTTTTTCAAAATTATTTTAAATGATACATTCTGGTTTTAGATTAACATCTCTGTTGACTTAATGGCTTAAATAGCTTGTCCTGACTCTAGGTCAGAACTGATGATTTTAAAATAGATTTAATTTTGATGAATTCACCGGTGTTCGGTTTTACTTTTCACAGCATCAGCTTTTTCAGAAAGATACCTTGGTATTCCATCAAAAGAGGAAAATACCTATCAGGTAAGTTAGCATAAATAAGTAACTTAAAATGACAGCTTTACTCTTAAAATGCAACTCAGTTACACCTTTGTGTGTGTTTGTTTGCCAGGCATCCAGCGTATTACACAATCTTCACGGTTTAAAAGAAGCGAATTTGCTAATAGTTCATGGGACAGCTGATGGTAAGTATTTACAGATGCAATTACATTCGAAGTCAAAGTTTTTATTAGGCAGGCATTCACAGACAGATTAGGCACTCAACTAGCAAGTACATTTTTAGTTTCATTATCCCTCCAGTAGGATTTTTTATTTTATGCCAGTTGTCACTTCCAACTCTAAACTGATGACACTTTTCTTTGCTGAATATTTGTACCTTTTAGGTGCTGTATGTTTTAATTTGTTTAAATCTTGTGGACCACTGTCTTGCTAGTGAAAGGTGTTGTATGAATTATTAATAGAACAACATGCATTTTTAATGGTATTTTAAATTTATAGAGATTCTACAATTGAAGAAAGAATTATCAGTACAGTTGGTGAAGTACGGCACCAAATGGGAAGTTAAACTTCTCAGCTAATTAATTACAAGGTAGTGCCAAACCATCTGAAGCTGAAGCTATAGGGAACCTTTTAATAGCACCGATACTTTTAAGAGTAGTTTAAGATGGAGAATGAGTAAAACAGAGTAAGTTCTAGCATTTTAAATGGAATCATAAGATGTGTCAATCAAGAGATAATTTGTAATTACAGATGTAAATTTAACTGCAATACACTTTTCTGAACTTTCTTAACTGCTGTAGATCTAAAAAAGGATCTTTGATGCAGGCACAAATTACAGTGCTGCAACATGCTCCTCTGTACAGATTCATGTCCATACTTCTTGCCCTGGAATTTTCCTGGTGAATGTGGGATAATACAAGGTTTCTTACTCCTCAGTCTGGAGGGATAAGTGACAAGGGCCGAGGTGCGAGTGCCTGCACGCACAGTTGGCACAGTGAGGATGGCACCTGCCAGCCTGTCACCCTGCTGTAACCTGTCACACCCGTGTTGTGAATCCCAAGTGCAATCAGAGGAGCGCAAACACTGTCCAGTGTTTCTTCCCAGAGCAGGAGAGAGAGGGACAGAGGAGATATACTGGGTGACTGAGCAGGCATGAGGGTCTCAGTCTTTGCTGATTGTAAAAGGCAGCAGCAATTTCTACCCCTCTGAACTTGGTGCTAGAGGGAATTGAGACTGTGATAGATGTCTGAGCAGTACAGTGTGTTCCAGGCTAGGGCTGGTTCCCTGCTGCCCTTGCTTAATATCACATGTAGTGACACTGCCCAGCCCACTGGCAGCCTAAGCTCTGCAGTTAGGAAATGGTTATAAAGTTGCCTGGTTTTACCACATGGAGATTAATTTACTGATACCTTGCAGAAAGTCCATTACCTAAAGAAGTGTGGGCTGTAATAACCCTGTGCCAGTGGTAGAAAATCCGATGTGCTTCCCTGTAACACAATTATAAACTGTCACAATGTTCAAACAGACTGGTTTTACACACCTTTAAACTATCGCAGTGTGTGTAAATCAAGGGTAGAGAATCAGAGTGCCTGGAAAGTGTGGCTTCCCTTGGGGCTTCCAGGTCCTTCTCCAAAACCTCCGCTGTTGCACCCTGCGTTGCTGTTACTGGTGGGGCTGTGTGCTTCTGACCAGAAAGACAGTCAACTTCAGATCCAGTAATTACAAGAGATTTGAAACATTTTTAGTCCAAACTGTTCAACTGATAAGCATTTCATATTAGCTTAGCTTTTTCTAATAGTATTCAAATGTTGTTATCTTGCAGCTAAAGTCCACTTCCAGCATTCAGCGGAATTAATTAAACATCTAATAAAAGCTGGAGTTAATTACACTATGCAGGTATGTGCAGCTGTGACATTTCCTACAAACATTGTTCAGCGTTTAACCTCATATTGCTATTTCTTCCCTGAGAAGGACCCTCCCTACCACAATGCCCCAGTACTACCTCAGTTGGCAGTTAGAACTCCATTTAATCCCATTTTCATTACTGTTAGCATCGATGTCAAGAACTATATCTTCGTGTCGTTCTTCTGGTCTCTTTCTCTTCTCTCCCATCTTTCTTTTTTCCACCCATTTATCCTGCTATACAAAGTGCTTTAGAGTCCATATGTACTCTTTGTAATATGGAGATATCACAACTTTAATCCCTTCCTACCTAAAAAGTATTGGGTCACATGAAACTCATTTCCCTTAACCTCGTTTTCAACATTTAAATTTATTAAAAGGCAGTTAAAAGGCAAGAGTGCCGTTCCCTCTCTCCATAGCTGTACAGAGAGTGAGGGTGCTGTGGGGGACAGGCTGGGAAGAGCAGGAAAGGGCATCCTGCTGACGTAGACTTGCTCGTGACCCACCACGGAGTACATGGATGTTTCTGGCTGAGGGTTCTGGTTGCACTAAACCTTCTTGAACATCTTAGACAATGTGGTTCTGGGTCACTCCTCCAATATCTCTGATGTTACACATTGCAAACCTCGACCTTACTGAACTTCAGGTAAACCTGTATTTTCCACTGAAACATGTGAGATCACGTTAGGGAGGAGGTGGTAGAAGGAGGTTAGCATTACTTAGGAATGGAAGAGGACTTTATGTCTGAAATCTGAGTGGGGCAGGATCTGTTCTTGCTGTCCCTATGGTTTCAGCTGGGGTCATGTGAAGGCCTATGAAGAGAATGACAGAGGTCTTTCAGTAGAGCCCCGTTGAGCCGTTCTTATGCAACCTTGTGATAACCTGAGTTTGAGGAAGCAGCTGAAGCTTAATGCCTCAGGCCACCACAAGACTCTTGTCCTATATCCTGTGGCTTGGATTTCTTCATTGAGCCTGGAAATTTTTGTTCAGCCTCACTTAGAAGAAATTTCCAGTGGAATTTGAATTAAGAGAGAAAAATGCCCACATCGATCCTAGGAGAGAGAGATTATGGCTTTTAAATAAGATAGGAAGATAGTTAAAAATATGAATTAGAAAGTTTTTCACTGACCACTTAGAAGCTGGGATATTGAGAGATCCCTAAAAGCATGAGGTAATTAATCCTCATTGATGTTAATGGGATTTGGATGCCTAGATGCTATTGCAAGTGCCAGCTAAGTAAACTGTTGCAAGCACCATGAGTGAGAATATAAATTTTTTCACTTCTGCAGATCCCACTGCAGTGGTTGTTTTATGTAAGTTCAAACTCCAAGAGAATGAGTTTTACTTTGAGTTTTATTAGTTTTTCTTGATGCCATAGAACTAATGTTATCATCCCGTTGTCATCTAAAACATTTTGAAGATCAGAGAAAGAAAATTAGAGCCTTAAATATTTGAAAAGCCTTTTAAAAACTATTTACTTTTTTCTTTTCTCCTCTGCTAGATCTACCCAGATGAAGGTCATAACATTGCTTCTGAGAAAAGCAAATATCACCTTTACAGCACAATCCTTGGCTTTTTTAGTGCTTGTTTAAAGGAGGAGACACCAATTTTACCACAGGAACCTGAAGAGGATGAATAAGGAAGCCTATTTGTGTAGTACTGAAGGGGACTTACTTTGCGGCTCAATAAAACCTTAAATAAAAGTGACTGTAAGATTGCAGATTCTGCAGAAGCTCAAGGGCAGCTAAAGGATATCACAGTGGAACAGCACATTTACAGACAATGAGCTAATAAACTGGAATTCGACTACAAAGTCCAAACATATTACCAAGGGACAAAACCTTTACCTTTGTGGAAGGTCAACGGTTGGTTACAGTTTCCTGGAAGAACTTAGTTTTGCATAAGTGTAGGGTTAGTGCATGTTTGTTATGTTAAGCCTCACTGTTGGTTCTGTAAGTGGTTGCTCGTTTTTTAATTTAAATGCACATCTTTATTCATCTTCGCATAATGCACAACCTATCATAAGTATTATGGCCACTAATATTTTAAAAGGTGAGCTGCAACCTAACACTTTACTGTAACGTTACAATAAGTGCAATTCTTTCGCTGTCTATTACACATAAGAAACCACAGAGATAATAAAGGGCACGATATTTTCTCTAGTTTCTGCTCAAAGGGGATATATTGTCTAGTGAGTCATATAACATTGATATTGAAAATGATTTTTTTCCCAATTTCAGCATTTACGATTATTACTCTACCTACTAGTAACCAATAAGGGACTTTTTGGTAGTGTACTCTTGGTCTTTGTGTATATACCCAGGACTCCCTAAGCAGAAAATCTTCCTGAGCTTGAAGAATTTTTTCCAAGACATAATTAACAGCTGTACTTAAAACAATATCTGCAATTGAAATCTTTCCCCAGTACAAAATGTATCTATCGTTTCCTTAAAATATGTTTGGGTTGTGTTTTGGTATTGTTTATAGTAGTTAATAGTTTGCTGGTTACACTCTAATTTTAGAATATGCTACTTTGTCACATGTAAATTAGATACATAAATATTATAGTTTCAGATAAAGAAAATTTATTAACGATGTATAATGCCACTGAGTAATACTTTACTCCTCAAATGAAGACATATTTTGTATAGTGCATCTTCCTTTTCTTCCATCTGGTCTCAGTTGTAATTCTAATGTTCATCAAGGTGGCCACATAGCTGGAACACTCGATTAGTTTTTATTCCAGGGATGCTCATTAAGTCTCTCGCAACAGGATTTAGATTCAGCAGCACCACAAAGAAATGAAGTGTTTTTCATTCAAGGCAAAGGAAGCTCCTGACAAGTTAAATTTTATTATTTATTCAGAGGGCGAGCCCCTCATACATCCATTTATTTGCCAAGGTGAATTACAGCAATAGAAATTGAAACTATGAAATAAACAGGGCAGCCAGTTTGGGTTTGCAGAATATTAACTCTGATCACTGAAATCAAGTACAATGTTGACTTAATTTAAGGTATTTTCCTGAAGGTATGTGACTACTCTTGACAGATGCTGTGCCACTTACATGAGAATAGCTGTGGTTTTTTTCTTTCTGGATATATTCCAAATACTTTCCTACCCAATTAAGGTTTCATTTCTTGCAAGATTAAAAAGACAGTAATTTTTTGAAGGTGACTTATACTATTTAAGATGCAAAGTTCTGCATATTTTATGAAGAATGGGAATTGTTTTTAATGTAATCAAAAATCACCTGAAGCTTTTTACTCATTACTTTCTTCTGGAATATTTTCTTTCATGGTTAGCATTTTTTTATGATGCAAATAATTAATTTGTCTGAAAGGTGTGGTTTTATGGAACACTGGAAAGTCTCTGTCTTTTAATGTTTAGTATTTATCTTGTTTTATTAGCAATGTTTAACTATTTTTCGATTAGTTTAATACAATTTTAATGTGCAATGATACCTTGTCTGGGTCCCAGTGTCACCACAAAGCATGGCTTTGCTTTGTGGTATTTAGAGTACATATGGAGTACATATGTATAGTATAGGTACAGTATATATGTGTGGAGGCTACTACATGCACTACGATAAGGAAAAAAAAAGCAAGAAGAAATCAAACAGGGTTTTGCAAATCCTGTTTTCTATAGAGTAGCAACATTTTAAAGTCTTCTAGTGGCTGGGACTGATTTAATAAATTACACCTATTACTTAATAAAAGCTCACCTGACAATAGCGATGCTTTTCCTGACCAAACACAGCAAATGAGGCCCTAATCCAGTTGAACTCAGACATTTTTCCCGATTTGAGCCAAACGCACAGGAAGGAGCCACCGCCTGTGTGCACACGTGGAGCACGCCGCACGGACGCGGCGTGCCGAGGCTACGTGTGATTCTTCTCGATCTGCACGGGCTGTTGCTCTGCGAGACAGCCGCTCTGCGCTCCTATTTGCTGCAGTTGACGTGTACAGCCTTCAGGTACCTGCGAAAGCAAACAGGCAAGGCTTATGTCTCAGCAATAGGATTATGCATGTGCTCAGGAAGTATGTTCTCTCAGATCTGTGGAAACCTACGCCCTGTCTCCTCCTTTCCCTGTAGCTCGCTGCTTCAGGCTCCCGTTCCCTACTCTTTCTACCCCAGCATCTCACCTCCGATTTTGATCAATTTACCTGAATATGAGGGTGGCATGAGGACATGGCTTCTGTAAGAATGCTTTTGCCAGGACTGGTATGTTTAGAAAGTGTGTTATCTGTGTGGAAATATGGTGTGCTTTTAATGTTTTTACTATTTCTCACACTGTCCTACAAACACAGGTATTTTTCTATAAACATGTTACAAGGTTAAACATTTGACCCAGATTAGTTGGTCTTACTGAAATTTTTATGTACGAGTTAAATGCAGATGTTGCAAAAGTATTTGGAGATGCAGCCTCGGATTCTAGTGAGACTAAAGAATTTGGTGCGAGGAGATCCAGAGCTATCTGTACTCTTGCTAACGAGTTCAACTATTTCTTCCACTTCCAGCACAACTGAATACTGTTATCTATCAGAATCTACATACATAACTAATGTCAATCACTCATTAATTAGTCTGTGATCTATAGTATTGATCAAGAATTAGTACACATTGCACAGAAATGGCATGAAAAGCATAGATTTTTTCATAGCTTATCCATTGTTAAGCACTGTGATGACATTTTAAGTCTGAAAAATTACTGTTTGATTCAGCTGTCCTTAAAATATGACACTTACTAGACTAGACCTATTAATTTATGGAAGGCTAGGGAATCAGCATATCCATTTACTGCTTGCTAGAGCTTATCTCTACCTGCCTGATTTCCTCTCTCCTTTTTCTGCTATTAGGACTTGCAAAATCTATTGAAACCTGTAGGTCATATTGAAATTTCAATTATATTACAAAATCGAGAGTAACTGCATGTCAATTGGACTATTTTTTCCAGATTGTTGAATACAAAGAAAGGCTGATTATTTTTAAATTCTTTTTTTTAATCTTTTTTCCAGAGAGTACAGAATTATTTATGACCTGGTTTGAGCAACGTCTGTTATGATTTGCTATAACCAACTGCTCGTTGTTCCTATTTTTTTGGCATATGTAGATCTACCTGTGTCTGAAAATGAAGATGATTGCCTCTGTTCTCTCAGCTCTAGCACTTATTTTGGGTATGGAGTCAGTTAGGTTCATTCAGTTGAGAAGTTGCACCTTTTAAGACAGAAGAGCTTGTATTTGGTCTGAAGCCAAAGATTCTCTACGGAAACTTGGGGAGTGTTGAATGTTGACTCCTTGAATAAAATGCAGAGGATACAAAGCGTGACCTAGTGTCCCTCCTTGCAGGTTTATTAGGTGTTACTGAAGAAACTGAAGCAAGGGAAGGACTGGCCCAAAGAGACTGAATACCAGTTTCTTTTGCACAGCCTAAAACCACATAGGCAAGGTGCAGTGGTCCTAGCATTTTATATTTACTTCAAGTAACTCCTGCTGTCAAGTCAGTTCCCTGTGGGGAAGGAAGCACCTCACCAGTATTGATTACTGGTGCATCTTCTTCAAAACATCTTTCAGTACCGTTAAGATCACTCTTCTTTTTCCTTTGAATGATTTCAAGAGTGCTTCAGAGAACGGGGAGCTCATGGGATGTGGCTAAGGAGAGTCGCAACTTCCAAGGTGCCTGGAGCTTTGAAAAGAAAAGAAAGGATTTAGTTAAACTTCTTTCTGTTGCATTTCAAACATGAAAGTTGAGAAGGAGCCTGGCTTCAAGGAGGTAGGTGGATGACAAGTGTTGGTGATTCACTCATCAGGGGGTAACACAACATGCTTCTCACAAACCTAGTGCCAAAATTTTGCAATGATAAGTAAAAAAAAATGCCTTCTTTCCAATCCCTGAAAATTACAGAGCTGTTAGATAAAGTCGATCAGATATTTGGATAGAATTAAGGAAATTAAATCACCTGAGTGTATGCAGTCCAAAATTTCCATTAAACTTGGGGCTAGACTTCTTGCCTGAATAATTAGTTTAGAAATCCAATATCCTACCTGTACTTAACTCTAACTCAACAACAACAAAATTGATTTCATAATGGCTATGCCCCATGAGGACACAACTGATATGTACGATTCTTTTTAATTAAAATATCTCATAAAGTGCTAACAGCCCATTTTTAGATTTCATGACCAAAGAAAAAAGAAAAACTTCTGATTGATAAAACCAGCAGAGGGAATTTAATTGGTAGGAAGATACTCAGGAAATATTTCCCTAAGGAAAGTGATTAGAAAAATGTTTTCTTCTAAAACGTATTTTGTGTCATAAGTGAGCTCAGAGTACAGCTGCCAGGGTGCTTCTAAGACAATTTAGATGTTGACCTACAGCTGATGTCCAGAGGGCTCAGTTAAGACACAGGTTCCTATACAGACAGATGGTCCTATCCTCCACCTGGTACAGAGCCCTGGCTGCTCTCTCTGAAGGAGGATTGTAGTCTTGTGAGTTTAGTCCACCACAGCCCCTTTTGGATCCAGCACTAGTCTTGAAGCTCTCTGATGGTGAAGAAACACTGGAACAGGAATGCAAATGATGGGCAAAGACTTGAAATCATTACATCAGGAAAAAGAAAAATATTTTTAAAAACAACTAAGCAATATGGTTGTCTTCCTCTTCAGCAGTTAGCCAACGGTGAGGGTGGGGAGCTTGGACAGGGCGCTTGGTGATCAGCTCAAATGCACTCCAGCTGAGAGACCAGCTGGCAGAAATTACAGTTCTGGCAGCATCTGTAAATGCTCTAATAATCACTGTGAAGAAAAGGAAAGGGAATATATACATGGACAGAATATTTAGTTTCAATATTGTAGAAGAGTTGTTTAAATAAAATGGGCAGATCCTTCCAAAATCTTATCAAGGAGCAGAACAAGCCTGAAGAAGTGCATTGGTTCGTTCCAGTGGTGGCACCTGTCAGCCTATTCCTGGCATATGCATTTGACAAATAGTGTGTCGGATCCGTTCCTGAGTAGGTTTTCACCACCATTAGGAGAGAGGTAAGAAAGAAGAGTGTTGTGAGGAGACAAGCAAAGAGAAGTTTTATTGCAATATGTTGCTCTATTCAGAGCTTTTGCTCTAAGATAAGGTGGTGTATAGTGTGTACACAAAAACTGGTAACCTTAGAGACAAATGTAGCCAATGCTGGATTCAATAAACTTTCAACTAAAGCAGGGGAGCCAGAAAAAAGAATGATGAATTACATGGTTTCTTGTGGATTTTTAGTTCTGTGTTTAATTTATATCCTATGTTTCAGATAGTCATTGTAAGATAGGAATTGTTAAATATAATTTCACATTTGAAATAAGCAGTTACAGTGAAATCTTTTGTTTTGCAAAACAGTGCAAATTGTTACATTTGAAGCTATTTACATTGTTAAGTTAACTGTTCTTCCTTTTGTCTTATAGTAGACACTACATTTTGGGGGCTGATGGGTTGTTTGGGTTTTTTTTAATTGGAATAGAAATTGTACTGAACTTGGACTGAAGGGCTTCTCTGCTTCTGTAAGAATTGCTTATGGAAGTACAAGGAATCTGAACACCAGTGAAATATTTAAAGGA